CAAGTGTAGCAGTTTTGAGTTTTTCGTGATATTAACCACATTTTAAATAGACATGCATTATTCGAGCGCTAAGAACTTATGTATGGGCAATCAGGGGACCAAATATGGGCACTAAAATCCCGAGTCCGGCCTTGATGGACCTGAACCGAGCGTTGGGGATTGAGGCACATGCACCTAGGTCTTGGGCACAGGAACCAAATCGAACCAGCTAGTTTCAAGCGATTTCTATTTCTCGATTCCCGATTCTAGGTGCAAAACCAAACAGCTCGGACCGGACTAATATGTTGTTTCTTTTCGTTTATCTTTTCTTTTAAAGAGTAAAGAAAAATAAATCGCCAAAGCCCTAAATCGGAAATGTTTAACTTGGGAATCGGACCAGGACCAAACAGTTTGGCTCTCGATTCTAGAATGGAACTGGCCTAACTCGGGAACTTATCACCCCTATGGGTATGTGCTCTCAAGGGTGCCGGAAAAAACCCCCAAGCGTGGTGATTCATACTTGGTCTTGAGCGCAAAGGACGGTCGTGCTGCCCACTTGAACTGACCTGGGTAATTGATAAAGCGACTTTAAAATGGGAAATAATGAAGATGGCTAGGGTACTCTAGGTTCCGGTTCAACATCCCTTGGAAGATTTTTGTTTTCGCTCTACTTTGCTCTTGAAAATTCTAAAAATGAGTCGATTAATCGCAATTCGCCACGTTAAAAGGGGTTTTTCCAAAAGGGAAACCAAAAAAAACTTTTAAATCGTCTTGCCCCAATACTTCAAATTCTTACTAAAAGTGCCTCCCGAAGATGCTTTGCGGTCGATTTCGGATCTTATCAATGTAGCGCACACAGGCGAAATCACAAAGACGGATTGTAACAAGCGAAAGGACAACGTTTGTTTTCCGCATTGTACCCAGCTTTTGTGCCTCCAACATTTAACGTATGTATCCTAGCCAAAATTTAAGAACATCGTGAACGCAAGTAAAGAATTATAAGACCAAGGACTTCCAAATGGTACATACCTTGTTCACCCACCCACAGAGCTCCATTGTCCCATCTCTTTTAAGTTTTGTGAAACAAACAAAAAAGAGGTCCTATCTCAATGCCACATGACATTGACATAAAAAAAAAATTGAACAAAAATAAAAATAAATTAATTAAAAAAGACATAGAGAGAGGAGGGGAAGGAAAGGCAAGAGGAGGTGTGAATGAACAGAGAGCTATCACCGGCTTCATGCCTCCATTCATATGGTTATAAAATTGTTTTATCTATATGTTTTAAGCTAAGATTGTTATTTATCTATTTTTGTATTTTTCAAAGATACCCTTTTATCAAAATTTAAAACTAAGCGTTGCTCTCTCTTTGATCGACTTGCAACCCAATTCACACGTCCAATCAATTAAATAATCCCTTGTAAAAAAGGAGTTAGTTAACGAGCACACTCATTAAGCAACCGACGTACTAAGAAGACTTTATACTTTTCGATGTATCGATTGTCCTTATGTTATGCGCAATTATTTAGCTAACGTTTCGAGGACACTCTTCAACGGGACCCTTTGAAAAAGAAAACCAATTATTCATTCACGATCGGAACACTCGCGCTTTCTAAACGTTATTGTTTAATTGCACTTTCTACATGTGGGGCGGCAAGTGGATGAACGAGTGAATGTAGTTCGTTTCGTTTTAGCTACGGAAAAAGCCAGAAGACTGCGTGTGTTGACCCCGTGACGGATGATGTTTCAACAATCTACGCTCAAATCAATCAATCAATCATGAACCTAAAAAAAGACATCAAAAGTCTTTGCGTGGGCGCTCCGGTGGACGTAATCAGCAAGTGTGTTTCGGTGTGTGCGCGCTTGCGAGATTGATGGTTGTTGGCGTGCAACTTGAGTTCAGTTCTCACTTCTCATGTGTGCTTTGGAAGATGTGGGGACAGGTGCATTTCGATGAGAGTCGTTGGTAAGTGATGAAGTCATTGCTTGTTTGAGGAAATGGACGTTCGGCGTAGGTTTCGGGAATCGGGGAGCGATCCGTTTCGTGACATTTCGAGGCTTTTTGACGCGTGATTGGGAGGATTTGAACGGGCGATCTCTACTTTTCGAGGTGAAAGTTCCCCGAGTCCTCGACCGAGTATGCCGGCTTTGGGAGATTAAGCTTTTCTGGATTATGAACTTTACTCCTGGTGTCTTGCCCAGGGTTTAGGCAAGGACGAGGTTTGGAAGCATGTTTGAAGAAGTTAAGAGGTCTCGGGTTTGGTCACCGGGATGCATGTGAACCAATGCGCAAGCACAAACTCGCGGGGTTAAAAAAAAAAATTGAGCTCTAATGAATTGGTTGCGTGGTTAAGCGGTCACTCTCTGTATTTAAATTCTATGGTCTCCTATTCAAAGTAATTTGGGACCCTGCCCTATTAATATGACTTAACGAGTGTAAACAGGGACGATTTACGTGTATCGATGGGGACCGGTCGAGCCGAAATTTCGGACTGTTTTAGGGCCCGTTTGGTAACGTGTCAAATAGTGAAAATTTCTGTTCTTTTGTTCCCAGAAATAGTTTGGGAACAGAAATGCGTTTGGTAAACTTTTTGTTCCTGGGCACATTTTTACAAAAATTTGTACCGAGAAACAGTTTTGGAAGAGAAACAAGAAGTAAAAAAAAGTTGCTTCTTGTTTCTCGGCACAATTTTGAGAATCAGTTTTTTTTCTTTTTTTTATTTTCTTATTTTTGTGTTGTTCTTCCCTGGCTGAGCCGGCCGCCGGTCGCTGGCGGCCGGCGACCGGCTATGGCCAAAGAAGAAAATGGGTAAAAAAAATAAAATTTAAACAATTCAAAATATTATTAAAATATTATTTGGGAACAGAAATTTTGTATAGTTACCAAACGCATTTCTGTTCTTTTCTACTCTAGGAATAGAAATTTTGGACAGTTTATCAAACGCCTTCAAATACTCAGAAATTGTTTCCGGGCACAGAATAAAAAAAAATCATTTCTGTTCAGAAATAGCTCCCGGGCACAGAATTGTATTCATGCGCAGCCTTAGAATGTGTTATGGTCCCCGGGTTGGCCTACAGTTTACTAAGTTTTGGGCTGGGCTACAGGTGTCCGTGAGATTGATAGTAGTTGGCGTACAACACTTTGTGTTCAATTGTCACGTGTCCTTAGAAACTGTGGAAAATGCAATTCCATGGGAGTCGTTGGTAAATGATGAAACTATTTGCTTGTTTGAAGAATTGGATGTTTGCGTAGGTTTTGGGAATTGGGGTAGCAATCCATCTTGCGTGTGCTGTTTTAGGTTTTTGACGGATGACTTCTGAAACTTTTCTGAATAATTTCGAAGCACGAGCACAGAGGTCCGGCTATGTCAAAAACTAACGGTATGCCCTGCGAACTCACAAACTGGTCGACTTTAGATTTCTAACCTGTGCATGTGGTCCTTACCCGAAGCCTTATGCATAGAATTGATAATACTTGAACGGGTGGTTTCCACTTCCGAAGGTAGAAACCCCCGACGCCCCCACCAAGTAAACCAATCCCAAGGATCGAACTTTTTTTGACTCGAACTTTTACTTTTGGCGATCTTGCCTAGGGTTCAGGTGAGGATGAGCTCGGAACCACGTTTGGAGAAGTTAAAAGGTCTTGGATTTGATCAAGGACGGACTAAATAGAGTTTTAATCCCTAATTGCGCGGTCAAGCATTCGATCTCAATTGGTCGACTTAATGTGATTAGTGAATGTGGACCGGGACGATTTACGCGTATCGATGGAGATTGGTCGAGCCGAGATTTCGATCTACCGGGGTCATTTAGAATGTGCTATGGCCTACAGGTTGGCATGCAACTTACAAAGTAATGGGCCGGGCTCCTACATCCATGGGCCGGGCTCCTACATCCATGGGCCCAGCCCAGCAAGAATGCAAGGGTCAAGGCCCCTCTTGAAGGTCCATGCCTGCCTGCCCGCCAGTGCCTTCTCTCCTACACGAACTGAAGAAAGAAAATGAGTTTTTGAGTTAATTACTCTGGCCTCCCTCCAATTTTGATCAAATTATTCAGGCACCCCGCATATTTTCATAAATTACTTTGGGACCCCGTAGGTATCGCTCAAAATTACTTGGACCCCACCTTTATTTTCATAAACTGCTCTAATACCCCTTCCGTGTATTCAGAATTTACTTTAAGACCCTGTCGGTGTCGGTTGGTTGAGACAAAAGAATAACTATAATTTCTTTATGTCTAGTTGTTTCCTGAAACATTTTTAAACTATTTTTTTTAATTCTATAAACTAAAGTTTAGTTATTTGTAAGTGATTTTCAAAACAATTTATGCTTTCTAAAAATAACTTTTAGCATTTTTACCGTTTCTTACTTCAAATACACACTGAGAGGTGTGTAAGTATTTTTTTAATCTACTTTATATTGACGATTTGATATTTCTATCATTTCGATCAAAATTCCTATTTTGGTGAAAACGCTTTCTTTTACGGTTCACTTTTTAATTGTATTCGCTCCTGCTCTCTTGAATTCTTAAGAGAACTAGCACCGCCGACAAACCAATCAAAGGAACCTCGCTTTTTCTCATCAAAGCAACATCATTTTCTCAATTCAAAACGTAGTCGCAGGAAGAGAAATTAATCGCATTATATAGGATCTCGAAACCAATATAGCTCGATTTCATATGGATAATATCAATAAGCACATATAGTGATTTGCAATCGAGACAAAAGTGATGGTTTTTTTTCCCCCCTCAACATTGGGAATTTCGGTACATTCATGTAGATACTCTTAGCTGGAAGCTTGAAAACAGAGGCACCGAAATGGTCCACGTGGTCAACATGAAGACGTGGAAGAGGATGGAGCTCAAGTTCCTATTGGTCCGTAATCTATCCAAATGTCACTCGCTTGGATTTCCTTGCCAGATTTCGTTTATCCAACTTGGACCCTCCAGGAACATTGATTTAGATTCTCTCCCTCAATCTCAACTCTCAGTCAAACATCTAGGACTCATACAATTGAGACACACATTTAGAGAGAGAGAGAGAGAGAGAGAGAGAGAGAGAGAGAGGCCGACATGGCGGCGACTTCCGGTGCGGTGGTGAACGGGCTGGGGTCGGCCTTCTTGAGCGGGGGGAGGAGGAGCCGGTCCTTGTTGAGGGCAGCCGGCTTCGGGGCCAAGGCGGGGAGCGGAGCCGGCTCTAGGAACTTGGTGGTCGTCGCGGCGGCTCAGCCCAAGAAGTCTTGGATCCCCGGCGTGAGGGGCGGCGGTAACTTCATCGACCCCGAGTGGCTCGACGGCTCGTAAGTGTCTCCCTCTGCCCACATACTTGTCTCCGGAGGGATGGTATCGTATGTTCAAAACAAGTTCCTAGATAAGTTTTAGAGAATTCATTATCCCAACACATATGATGCTGAAATCTATGTAGGTTTCGCTCAACTTGTATGATGTGGCCTAACATTACTACTTTGAAAAATAATCAAACTGCAGGCTCCCAGGTGATTACGGGTTCGACCCGCTCGGGCTTGGCAAGGACCCGGCATTCCTCAAGTGGTACCGAGAGGCGGAGCTCATCCACGGCCGGTGGGCCATGACCGCGGTGGTCGGCATCTTCGTGGGCCAGGCCTGGAGTGGCATCCCGTGGTTCGAGGCCGGGGCCGACCCCGGCGCGATCGCCCCGTTCTCCTTCGGTTCCCTCCTTGGGACTCAACTCATCCTCATGGGGTGGGTCGAGAGCAAGCGGTGGGTCGACTTCTTCAACCCGGACTCGCAGTCGGTGGAGTGGGCCACGCCGTGGTCAAAGACCTCCGAGAACTTCGCCAACGCCACGGGCGATCAGGGCTACCCAGGAGGCAAGTTCTTCGACCCGCTCGGCCTCGCCGGGACGATCAAGGACGGGGTCTACATTCCGGACGCTGAGAAGCTGGAGAGGTTGAAGCTGGCCGAGATCAAGCATGCCCGGCTTGCTATGGTGGCCATGTTGATCTTTTACTTCGAGGCTGGGCAGGGCAAGACCCCGCTTGGGGCTCTTGGATTGTAAAGAGTTTGAACTTGAATGAACCAAAAATGGCTGTAGATAAATTGGATTTGGGGAAAAAATTGACAGCTTAGAACCTCCAATGTTGTATGAGAAATCGTGTCCCCTGCGAACTATTTCATCCCATGATTCGTTGCTAGAAACTAGTGATGTGTTTGTAAGAGAGTTTATGATATGATAAATCATGATCGAGAAAGTATTCTATGTAACCAGAAGTTGCCCACATGTTGAGTGATTGCGTAGAAGATATCATATGAGGAAGTTTAGTTTTGATACTATTAATCGAATACCAGGGGTACATCCATTACATAAAGGAGATTTTTCATATGGAATTCATCGAAGAGGGCAATGATCAGTCATTTAAAGCATAAGGATTCAAATTCAAAGCACAGCAGAATTTTTAGTAAATGGACGTTGCAGTCTCTGTACTTACGGTTACAAAGGCAAAGCCAAGACATTACCAGAATATTGTTCCTTTTTTGCTAATAACATACACCAAAGTACATTGCCAAAGAAAATCTTTTGCGAATTTGCGAAAATCAGATTGCCCCAAACTGAAAAGTTGCTAGATTGATGATATAAACCCAGAAAGATAAACGATCCTCTCCATAGACAACCTGGATTCTGCAATGAGGATGGTGATTGACACAGAGAGGTAGTAAAGAATCGTTAGGTGGTCAAAACCGAGGGAACAATATTAAGATGAAGTAGTTCAATAACGGACAAAGTATAAACAGCCTGGCAATGAATTGTCAGCTGAGAAGTTCCAGCGCAGATGCAACAAAACCGTCTTGGAGTTGGATCCATATTCAAACAAAGACATCTAATAGTTGTGGCATGATTTCAACTAGGAGTATATCCGCGATTCAATCGAGCATCCAAGCATCTATAAGCAATTTCCACTCCGCTATGATCGTCGCCGAATTCCCATAGAAACAAGCACGTCCGCCTTCTGATTGTTCGGCATAATGGGTCCTTCAAAGTCGCTCAGAAAATCATTCTTAGCCTTATTCATCTTGCTGCTAAACCTTCGGATCACCGGAAGTAGTGATTCTTCGCTAGGTTACAATGGAGACGAGAGAGACGCTCTTTATGCTCTGAGAGCCGCTTTCAATAATCCTTTCTTGAACAAAAACTGGACTAGCATACATTGTTATATGGATGAACCGCCGAGATGGTACGGTATTCAGTGCAACAATGGCCGGGTCACAGGAATAGTACTGGAAGGTATGGAGCTGAAAGGGATGATCAGTTTTGACGCCCTCATTCACTTCTCCGAGCTATCCATCCTGAGCTTCAAGAACAATGCTCTTCAAGGGAGAATAATGAATTTTTCAAGTAACCAGAAGTTGGCCAGAATCGACCTCTCGGGGAACAAGTTCCACTGTCCAATCTCGGAGTCGCTCCTGAGTCTAGCTCTACTAGCATCATTGCAGCTCCAGAACAACAACTTGACAGGGGAAATCCCGGAGTTTAAACAATCTACCTTGATCTCCTTCAATGTGTCCAACAACAATATAAGCGGGCCAATCCCATTGAAGCAAACTTTCCAATTGTTCGGCAGGGAGTCATACTTGGGCAACCCAGGACTATGCGGACCACCCACGCATAAGTCCTGTGGTAACTCAAGCTTCCAGGAGTCAGCGAGCAATAGCCTGTCATCTTCCAATCCTTCTGGAAATGCAGATAATAGTACTGAAAAAAGCAAGAATCCTTCCAATTCTGGCTTTCGCATTCTTTCTCTGCTATTCAGCGTGGTGGCTCTACATGCTGTGATCTTTCTCTGTATCTTGTCCTATAAGAAGGCCAAGAAGCTCAAACGATTCATGAACCAAGAGAATAGCAGAGAAGAAGAAGCAGAAAACGAGAAAGAAGAGAAAAGCGAGGTGGTCGAGAGCGGCAGATTCGTAGAGAGGGGAAAAGATAGGGGGAAGCTTATATTCCTGGCAAAAGGTGGGGGGTTCAAATTGAGTGATCTTTTGAAGGCATCTCCGGAGGAAATCGGGAAAGGCGTCTTTGGGAACACCTACAAGGCGATCTTGGATGATGGGAAAGCCCTCGTGGTGAAGATTTTGAGGGATCTAAAGCCAATGACTAGAAAGGAGTTCACGAGGCAATTGCAGTTGCTGGCCTATCAAAAGCACCCAAATCTGATTTCTCCTCTCGCCTGCTTCTTCTCTAAGCAACAAAAGCTGTTGATCTACAGACACGCAGAGAAAGGCAACTTGTTTGACCGCATTCACGGCAAGCTCTCCCTATCTCTCTTATGGCATTCAAACCAAATCTATTTGTGTCCAGGAAAGCACATCAATGACCAGGAACAACACCATTCACCAACACCCTAGTATTAGCCTTAGCATTTCCCTCTATACTCATTCAGCAACAAGTCATTCGTCATTAGACATTCTATTACTTGGTAATTAGTCTTAGAAACATAAGGAACTAAATAAAATTAGTAGAACCCAGCATAGCAAGTTCAAAAGAACCACCTAACTTTTAGAGCTATGGAACCTAATCACATATTTAAAATACGTAATTCCTATAACAAGTAAATGACAAAAGCAAGCAAATTCTACCATTGAAAGCTGCTGGGTTGATCAGATATCAGTAAACACCGGTTCCAGCCGCCGATCAGTTCCATGCTGTGGCCTTGAAAGCTGCATGCTAGTTTGTGACACTAGTGCATATTGTGATTGTCATCTAATGAAAATCACTACCGCAGGAGGAAGGGGAAGCAAAGAGCGGGTGCCATTCAGGTGGAACTCCAGACTATCAGCTGCTCTAGGCGTGGCTCGTGCCCTACACTACCTTAACGTGAACTCCAACTCAAGACCAAATGTGATCGTCCCACATGGGAACCTGAAATCAAGCAATGTCCTCCTCAATCAAGATGACACCGTCCTTGTCTCTGACTACGGCCTCTCCTCTCTCATTGCACTCCCCATTGCCGTGAAATCCATGGTCTGCTTCAAATCCCCTGAATACCAAACCACGCAACTGATCTGCGAGAAGACCGATGTCTGGAGCTACGGTTGTCTGCTTCTCGAACTACTCACTGGCCGAGTCTGCGCCAATGGGGCCCCACCGGGAGTCCATGGCGTAGATCTCTGCAGCTGGGTTCGCTGGGCAGTGAGAGAGGAATGGACCGCCGAGATCTTCGACTCCGAGTTCAGAAAGGAGAAAAGGTTATCCGATGGGATGTACAAGTTGCTGCTGATAGCGATACAGTGCAGTGATCGGTCGCCTGATAGGCGTCCTGAGATGGCGGATATCGTGTACCAGATTGAGTATATTAAGGTGGTCGACGATTGCGAGGACGACTCTGTCACGTCGCATGACGACATTGTTCAAAGCTCCTGGTGATGACAATAAATAAATGATAAGGGCTTTTGTTAGGTTGGCTGTGAAACAGATCGTATTGTTTCATGTTATTGAATCTTCTTTGAACTGTGTCCGAACAACATTAACACACGAAAACAAAGAAGACATGGAGTTCGCAAAACAATGGTATCTGCGATTATTGATGCTACAGAGATCAGTATCTGTCATGGGTTGGCTTGCTCAAAATAACTGTTATCCTTCTATTGTGCGCCTCTTTTCAATTTCGATCTGTACGCAGGATAATTAAAGTTCCCCATAACAAGTCAGGAAGCTCATATAGCATAGTATGTAGTTGCATAGTCAAGTACCAGCCAGTGCATGGTGCGCTTCTTGTCAATTACTTGTTCCCGTTGACTAATCACCATTAGCAACGCCAAACCGAAAAATTTCAACTAAATTGTCAATTGGTCAGTCTATCCTTGACGAGCCATTATAGCATGATCCCGGTTTTCGTGAAGGGCAGTGGCAACTTCATCAATCCTGAGTGCCTCGACCGCTCATAAGTGGACAGAGGGAATATATTTGCACTTTTTTAAAATTTTACAATTCGATTGCGTATTCGCCATAAGTTTTAGGACTTCTGCTATATATATCCTTAAAAGTATTATGTACCATGAGATTGAAAAGGCCAATTTCTGTCGCTGATAGAGAACAAAGTGACCGAGTTTGCTATTATTCCATTATTTTCATCAGACGAGTTCCTAGATAAGTTTTAGATGATGCATTAATCCAAGACAAAATGATACTGAAATCTTTATAGGTCCACTCGGTTTGTATAATTTGGCCTAACATTAACACTTTGAAATCCTGCTCTCATCTAAATCGAGAATAATGATAAGAATGTATTATTTAAATTCCGTTCTTCTCTAAAGCTCATTCGGAGTCATGGTTTTGTTTTTTCACCTCCAATTTGCAGAGTATCTCCCCTCTTACTGATGAGCTATGGAAACAATTAACTGCAAGCTCCCAGGTGATTACTACCGGTTCGACCCGCTCAGGCTTGGCAAGGACCCAACATTTCTCAAGTGGTACCGAGAGGCCGAGCTCAGCCATGGCCACGGTGGTCGGCCTCTTTGTGGGCCAGGCCTGCAGTGGCATCCCGTGGTTCGAGGCCGGGGCTGACCGGGGCGCAATCACCCCGTTCTCCTTCGGTTCCCTCCTCGGGACTTAACTCGTCCTCATGGGGTGGGTCGACTTCTTCAACCCGAATTCACAGTCTGTGAAGGGGACCACGCCGTGATCAAAGACTGCCGAGAACTTGGCCAATGCCATGGGTGAACAGGGCTACCCGTGGGGCAAGTTCCTTGACCCGCTCTGCCTCGCTGGGACAATCTAGGACAGGGTCTACATTCCGGACATGGAGAAGCTGGAGAGGTGGAAGCTGGCCGAGATCAAGCATCCCCGGATTGCTATGTCAAGCCATGTTGATCTTTTTACTTTAGGCTGGGCAGCGCAAGAACCCTGCTGGGGCTATTGGATTGTAAAGAGTTTGAACTTGAATGAATCAAAAATGGTTGTACTAGTGGATAAATTGGATTTGGGGAAAAAATTGAAAGCTTAGACAGATTCGAGCCTCCAGTGTTATACGTGAAATCGCGTCCCCCGCGTTGTGATTCCATCCTGGATTCATCCCTAGCATCTAGCGATGTGTTTGTAATAGAGCTTCTCATATGATAACTCGTGATCGAGAAAGTATTTTATGTGACCATAAGTTGCTCACATGTTAGTAAAGTGATCATGTAGAAGAATATCGTACGAGGAAGTTTCGTTTGATGCTTCTCGTCGAATGACATGGGGTACATCCATTACACAAGAAAGATCTTTCACATAGAGTTTATCGAAGAGGGCAACCATCAGTAATTTGAAGCAAAAGGATTCAAATTCAAATACAGGACAATCTTTTTTTTCTTTTTGCTAATTATAATTATCAAACGAAGTACATTTTGCGAATTTGCGAAAATCAGATTGCACCAAACTGAAGTTGCAATATTGATGATATAAACCCGGAAAAGTAAACGGTACTCTCCATATGCAAGCTGGCTTATGCAATAAGGATGGTAATGACAGAGAGGCAGTGAATGATTATTAGGTGGTGAAGACTGAGGGAACATTTCCTACATTCCAAAAGAATTGCAGTTCAACGAGGGACGATGCCTTTGCCTAGGAATCTTCAGCTGAGAAGATCCAACGCAGATGCAACAAAACTGTCTTATTAGCTCCATCTTCGAACAAAGCCACCTATTAGCTGGGGCATAGTTTGACCTAGGAGTATACCCGCGGTTTCATCGAGCATCCAAGCATATCTATTAGCATTTCACTGCGCTATGATCATCGCCAATTTCCCGTAGAAACATGCACATCCACCTTCTGATGTTCAGCATAATGGGTTCCTCAACGTCGCTCAGAAAATCATGCTTAGCCTTATTCATCTTGCTGCTAAACCTTCGGATCACCGGAAGTAGTGATTCTTCGCTAGGTTATGATGGAGACGAGAGAAACGCTCTTTATGCTCTGAGAGCCACTTTCAATAACCCTTTCTTGAACAATAACTGGACTAGCATACATTGTTCTATGGACGATCCCAGATGGTACGGCATCCAGTGCAGCAAGGGCCATGTCACAGGAATAGTACTGGAAGGTATGGGGCTGAAGGGGCTGATCAATTTCAACGCCTTCATTCACTTCTCCGAGCTATCCATCCTGAGCTTCAAGAACAATGCTCTTCTAGGGGAAATAATGAACTTTTCGGGAAATCAGAAGTTGGCCCGAATCGACCTGTCAGGGAACAAGTTCCACGGTCCAATCTCCAAGTCGCTTTTGAGTCTAGCTTTACTAGCATCGTTGCAGCTCCAGAACAACAACTTGACAGGAGAAATCCCTGAGTTTAATCAATCTACCTTAATCTCCTTCAACGTGTCCAACAACGATTTGAGTGGACCAATCCCATCGACGCCACTTTTCAAATCATTCGGCCTGGATTCATACTCGGGCAACCTGGGATTGTACAGACCGCCCTCGCATAACTCCTGCAATTACATGAGCTCCCCTGAGCCACCGAGCAATGCCCCGTTGTCTTCCAATCCTTCCATTGAGGATCCTGAAAAACGCAAGGGTCATTCCAATTCTGACTTTCGCATTATTTTTCTGCTGTTCAGCATGGTGGCTCTACTTGCTGTGATCTTGATCTCTATCTTGTGCTATAAGAAGGCCAAGAAGCTCAAACAATCATTGAACCAAGAGAATAGCAGAGAAGAAGAAGCAGTGGATGAGAAAGAAGAGAAAAGCGAGGCAGTGGAGAGCGGCAGAGTCGTAGAGAGGGGAGAAGATAGAGAGAAGCTTATACTCTCCGAAAACGGTGGAGAATTCGAATATAGTGATCTTTTGAAGGCATCTCCGGAGGGAATCGGGAAAGGCATCTTTGGGAACACCTACAAGGCGATCTTGGATGACAGGCAAGCCCTCGTGGTGAAGATTTTGAAAAACCTGAAGCCAATGACCAGCAAGGAGTTCACGAGACGATTGCAGTTGCTCGCCGATCAGAAGCACCCGAATCTGATTCCTCCTCTCACCTGCTTCTTCTCAAAGCAACAGAAGCTGTTGATCTATAGATACGCAGAGAAAGGCAACTTGTTCAACCGCATTCACGGCAAGCTCTCTCTATCTCTCTTATGGCATTCAAACCAAATCTAGTAGTGTCCAGGAAAGCACATCAATGACCAGGAACAACACCATTCACCACGACCCGAGTATTAGCCTTAGGATTTCCCTGTCTACTCATTCAGTGACAAGTCATTAGTCATTAGACATTCTATTACTTGGTAATTAGTCTTAGAAATATAAGGAACTAGGAAAGATTAGTAGAACCCAGCATAGCAAGTTCAAAAGAACCACCTAACTTTTTGAGCTATGGAATCTAATCAAATACTTAAAATAGGTAATTCTTATAGCAAGCAAATAACGAAAGCAAGCATATCCTACCATTGAAAGCTGCTGGATAGATCAGATATCAGTAAACACCAGTTCCAGCCGCTGATCGGTTCCATGCCGGCGGCCATAAAAGCGGCATGCTAGTTTGTGGCACTTTGTTCTTATTGTAATTATCATCTAATGAAAACCAGTCCGCAGGAGGAAGGGGAAGCAAAGAGCGGGTGCCATTCAGGTGGAACTCCAGACTATCAGCTGCTCAAGGCGTGGCTCGTGCCCTACACTACCTCCACATCAACTCCAACTCAATACCAAACGTCATCGTCCCGCATGGGAACCTGAAGTCAACTAATGTCCTCCTCAATCAAGACGACACCGTCATTGTCTCTGACTACGGCCTCTCCTCTCTTGTCACACTCCCCATTGCCGTGCGATCCATGGTCTGCTTCAAATCCCCTGAATACCAAACCACGCGACTGATCTGCCCGAAGACGGATGTCTGGAGCTACGGTTGTCTGCTTCTCGAACTTCTCACTGGCCGAGTCTGTGCCCATGCGGCCCCATCGGGAGTTGATGGCGTGGATCTCTGCAGCTACGCCCACCAGGCAGTGAGAGAGGAATGGACTGGCGAGATCTTCGACTCCGAGATCAGAGAGGAGAGAAGGTTAGCCAATCAGATGCTCGAGTTGCTGCAGATAGCGATACGTTGCTGTGATGAGTCTCCTGATAAGCGTCCCGAGATGGCGGAGATCGCGCAGGAGATTGAGAATATGAAGGTGGCCGACGATTGCGAGGACAAATTTGTCACGTCGCCTGACAACATTGTCCAAAGCTCCTGGTGATGACAGTTGATAAATGATAAGGACTTCTATTAGGTTGGCTGTGGAAACAGATCATATTGTTTCCTGTCATTGAATCTTCTTTGAACATTGTCCAAATAACATTAACCCACGAAAACAAAGAAGACATGGAGTTCACAGAAGAATGTTGTCTGCTATTATTGATGCTACAAAGATCAGTATCTGTTATGAATTGGTTTGCTCAAAATAACTGATATCCTTCTATTGTGCGCCTCTTTTCAATTCCGATCTCTACGCAGGATAATTAATATTCTCCATAACAAGTCAGGAAGCTCGTATAGTATAGTATGTAGGTGCATAGTCAAGTACCTGCCAGTGTCTGGCGTGCTTCTAGTCAACCACTTGTTGCCATTGACTAATTATTGTAAGCAACGCCAAACCCAAAAAGTTCAACCAAATCGTCAGTCAGTCTGTCCATCCTTGACGAGCCGTTATTGCATGATCTCGATGCATGTGAAGGGCGGTGGCAACTTCATCAGCCTTGAGTGCCTTGATGGCGTGCAAGTTGACAGAGTGAATTTATTTATTTTTTCGAAAGTTTTAAAATTCAATTGCACTTTCACAATAAGTTTTAAGATTTCTGGAGCACTTATCCTTAAAATAATTATGCACCATGAGATTGAAACAGCCAATTTGTACCGCTGATAGAGAACAAAGTGACCAAGTTTGCCATTATTCCAGTATTTTCATCAAACGAGTTCCTAGATAAGTTTTAGATAATTCATTAATTCAAGACAAATGACACTGAAATCTTTATAGGTTCACTCAGTTTGTCTAATTTGGCCTAACATTAACACTTTGAAATCCTGCTCAATCAAGAATAATGATAAGAATGAATTATTTAAGTTTCGTTCTTCTCAGAAGCTCATTCGGAGTCATGGATTTTTTCACCTCCAATTTGGAGAGTATCTCCTCCCCAACTCTTGAGCTATGGAAACAACAAAATGCAGGCTCCCAGGTGATTTGGGTTTGACCGGCTCAGACTTCCCAACGACCTGGCATTCCTCAAGTGGTACTAAGAGGCCGAGCTCATCCACAGCCAGAGGGCCATGACCGTGGTGGTCGGCAGCTTCGAGGACAGTGCTAACCCGGGCGCAATCGCCCCCTTCTCCTTCGGGTCCCGTCCCTCTTCGAGACTCAACTCATCCTCATGGGGTGGGTCGAGAGCAAGTGGTGGGTCGACTTCCTCAACCCGGACTCACAGCCAGTGGACTGGGCCACACCGGGTCAATGACAGCCGAGAACTTTGGCAATGCCACGGATGATTTAGGCTACCCAGGAGGCAAGTTCTTCGACGCACTCTGCCTCGGCAGGATAATCAAGGCCGGGGTCTACATTCCAGAAGTGGAGAAGCTGGACAGGTTGAAGCTAGCCGAGATCAAGCATGCCCGGATTTTTATGTAGCCATTTTGATCTTTTACTTTGAGGCTGGGCAGGGCAAAACCCATGCTGGGGCTCTTGGATCGTAAAGAATTTGAACTTAAATGAGTCAAATGTTTGTACTTGTAGATCAATTGGACTTGGGGGAAAAGATTGAAAACTTAAGACAGAATTGAGCCTCTCTTGTTGTCTGAGAGATCGTGATTGAGAATGTATTTTATGTAACCGTAAATTGCCAACATATCCCTAGAGTGATTGAAGGATACCACACGAGAAAGTTTGTTTTTGACACTTTAATAAACAAGATGATTTGTCGCATAGAGTTTACGAAGCAGGTAATGACCAACAATTTAAAGGGTTAATACCACGAAAAACCCCAAACTGGTATACCTATGATAAATTTATCCCGAACTAATTTTTTTGACAATAAAAAACTCTGAACCGGTACACTTGTAACAAATTTACCCTCTGTTGAATTGGATTAATACTACGAAAAATTACAAATTGGTAAACCTAGGACAAACAGAGAGGTAAAACCCCAAACTGGTACACCCATCAACTGTCACACGTCTCAAACTCAGCAATTTAATAATAAAATTTAATGAAAATTAACAGATGGTAAATTTGTTACAAATGTACCAGTTTGAGATTTTTGGTGATCAAAAACTTAGTTTGATGTAAATTTATCACATATGTACCGGTTTGGAGTTTTTCGTGGTATTAATCCTAATTTAAAGCATGAGGATTGAAATAACCAAATTCAAAATACAGGACTATCCATCAACAATTGGACATCGCAATTTTATACTTAAGGTTAAACAGCCAAAGCGAAGACATGCCAAAAAATGGTTTCTTTTCTGCTAATTACAAGCACAAAACGAAGTAAATTATAAAGGAAATCTTTCGCAAATTTGCGAAAATCAGATTGCACAAAACTAAAGTTGCTAGATTGATGATATGAACCCAGAATAATAAACAATCCTCTCCATAGACAAACTGGATCCTGCAACAAGGTTGGCGATGACAAATAGGTAGTAAATAATTATTAGGTGGTCAAAACTGAGGGAACATTCCATGAGATTTAGCAGCTCAACGAGGTACAATGTGAAGCCAGCCTGCCTAGGGATCTTCAGCTGAGAAGTTCCAGTACAGATGCAACAAACCTGTCTTGGTTCCATCTTCAAACAAAGCCACCTAATAGCCGTGGCATGGTTTCACCAAAGAGCATATCCGCGATTTCATCGAGCATCCGAGCATACCTATAAGCAATTTCCACTACGCTATGATCGTCACTGAAATCCCATAGAAACACACACATCCACCTTCTGATGTTCAGCATAATGGGTTCTCCAAAGTCGCTCAGAAAATTATTCCTAGCCTTATTCATCTCGCTGCTTAACCATGGGATCACCGCAAGTAGTGCTCCTTCAGTAGGTTACGACGAAGATGAGAGAGCCGCTCTTTATGTTCTGAGAGCCGCTTTCAACAACCCCTTCTTGAACAGTAACTGGACTGGCATACATTGCTATATGGACGATCCACCGAGATGGTACGGCATTCTGTGCAACAATGGCCATGTCACAGGAATAGTACTGGAAGGTATGGTTCTGAAGGGGCTGATCAATTTCAATGCCCTCATTCAGTTCTCCGAGCTGTCCATCCTGAGCTTCAAGAACAATGCACTTCTAGGGAATATAATGAATTTTTCAGGAAATCAGAAGTTGGCCCAAATTGACCTCTCGGGGAACAAGTTCCACGGTCCAATCTCGGAGTCGCTCCCGGGTCTAGCTTTACTAGCATCATTGCAGCTTCAGAACAACAACTTGACAGGGAAAATCCCAGGGTTTAATCAACCTACCTTGATCTCCTTCAATGTGTCACACAACAATCTAAGTGGGCAAATCCCATTGACGCAGGTTGTCCAATCATTCAGCTTGGATTCGTTCTCAGACAACCCGGGACTATGCGGATCACCCACACCTAACTCCTGTGAAAACTTTAGCGCCCACGACTCAGTTAGCGATGGCCCGTCGCCTTCCAATCCTTCCGGATATGCACATAATGATACTGGAAAAAGAAAGAGTTCTTCCATTATTGGCTTTCTTATTCTTTTTCTGCTTTTCGACGTGGTGGCTCTACTTGCTGTGATCTTGCTGTTCATTTTGTACAAAAAGAAGGCCAAGAAGCTCAAAAAACCTGTGACCCAAGAGAATAGGCAAGATGAAGTAGCAGAGGAGGAGAAAGAAGAGAGAAGCGAGGCGGTTGAGAGCAGTAGAGTTGTCGAGAGAGGAGAAGATAGAGGGAAGCTTATATTCTTGGAAAATGGTGGAGGGTTCGAATTGAGTGATCTTTTGAAGGCATCTGCAGAGGGACTTGGGAAAGGCATCTTTGGTAACACTTACAAGGCGATCTTGGATAACGGGCAAGCCCTCGCGGTGAAGAGGATGAGGAATCTGAAGCCGATGACCAGTGAAGAGTTTACAAGGCAATTGCAGTTGCTTGCCAATCAGAAACACCCGAATCTGATTACTCCTCTTGCCTACTTCTTCTCTAAGCAAGAGAAGCTGTTGATCTACAGATATGCAGAGAAAGGCAACTTGTTCAACCGCATTCACGGTGAGCTCTCTCTCTCTCTCTCTCTCTCTCTCTCTCTCTCTGTCTCTCTCTCTCTCTCTGTGCCTTCAAACCAAATCAAGTAGTGTCCTGGAAAGCACATCAATGACCAGGAACAACACACTATTCACCACGACCTGAGTATTAGCCTTAGGATTTCCCTCTTGCAAGTCATCAGAAATTCTCTTCAATGGTAATTAGTCTTATAAACATGAGGAAGTAAATAAGATTACGTTAGAACCCAGCCTACCAAGTCCTAAAAAGCTAGTTAACTTCTAGAGCTATGGAACCTAATCACATACTTAAAATATGCAATTTCTATAGACATTAACAAAAAAGTAAGGAAAACAAGCAAATCCTACAGCTGAAAGCTGGTGTGTAGATCACATATCAGTAACCACTGGTTCCAGCTTCAAATTAGTTCCATGCTGTGGCCTTTAAAGCAGTTTGAACACCAGTTCTGAGTTCGTCTCAACAACTATTTTTGGCCATCCCCCATCTTTAGCAAGCATTAAGCCTTCTTTCTCAGGTGCTGCTTCTGAAAACCCTACATCAATCATTCTGCAAGCAAATTACACATAAACAAAATAGTAAGTCCTTATTTTTTGGTAGGAAATGCACCAACTAGATGGAACCGCTGGTAAACGGGCTGCACAGTTCAGTAGTAAAAGATATACAGTAGCCACCGTGCCCAAAGAGTGCCTAGCTCAGATGGCCAACACGCTCTTTGCACATCCCAGAGGTCGCGGGATGTTACTGCAAACAACTCTCAACTTTTCGAAAAGTCAAAGATTTGGTTGACCAGTTCAACAGGGGTCAACATCACACTTGACCGGGTCTTGATCGGTCAGGTCATAATTAAAAGAAGAAATGAAACAAACTGGTCCAATTGATTCAGCCCTTCCTATCCAGGATTCGAAGTGTTGATTACACACTGATTCACTCCATCCATTACAATCCATTCCCTTTCCATTTTATAAGACTTCCTCATGCTCGAATTTTAATCTTTTACATGGGTTGTCATAATCTCACTCTTCAATAACTAGAAAAATATATAAGTTCTAATAATTTAGTTGCGTAGATATGGTACTTTGTGCCATTTTGTGCATATGATGTGATGGTCATCTAATAAAAACCACTACCATAGGAGGAAGGGGAAGCAAAGAACGGGTCCCATTCAGGTGGAACTCCAGATTATCAGCTGCTCGAGGGGTGGCTCGTGCCCTTCAGTACCTCCACATCAACTCCACCTCGAGAACAAATATCAAAATTCCACATGGGAACCTGAAATCGACCAATGTCCTCCTCAATCAAAACAACATCATCCTTGTCTCTGACTATGGCCTCTCCTCTCTCATCGCGCTCCCCATCGCCGCGCAATCCATGGTCTGCTTCAAATCCCCTGAATACCAAACCACGCGACGGATCTCCCCGAAGACCGACGTGTGGAGCTACGGTTGTCTGCTTCTCGAACTACTCACTGGTCGAGTCTGCGCCCATGCGGCCCCACCGGGAGTCAAAGGCGTGGACCTCTGCAGCTGGGTCCACCGGGCAGTGAGAGAGGAATGGACAGCCGAGATCTTTGACTCCGAGATATCAGTGCAGAAAAGTGCTGCCCACGGGATGGTCCAGTTGCTGCAGCTTGCAATGAAGTGTTGTAATAAGTCGCCAGATAAGCGTCCCGAGATGGCAGAGATCACACAGGAGATTGAGAATATGAAGGTGGCGGTCGATTCCGAGGACGACGAGGACGTGTCGATCGATCGGTCCCTTACTGACGAGTCTTTCTCGACGACATCGTCCATTGCTGTTGCTGATGACAGATGAGAAATGATAAGGATTTTTATTGGGTTGGCTGTGAAAACAACACTAACATAAATGTCCCAGCAGTGAGCTGAGTAATCTTAGTTTGCAATGATGAGATAGATTATGAGTCACATAATAAATGGCGAATTCAAATATTTTTCATGTAGTTTACACAAGAATAAATGTAAACTCCGAAAGTTTCTTCTTTAGATTGAATCTTGAGCAATAGGGGATGCAAAAAGGAAAAGAAACTCAAAGTGGAGTATAGGATAACCATTCTGCTACTGAACGAATTCCAGAGTAGGAGAGATCTGATTGACTTCAAGTTTTGAGTGTATAAAAACCTCACTGAATGGCGCGGAGAGTTCATGATTAAATTTCGCACACTTGAGGATAAGTTGCGTGCATACTCAGCAGCAGAATGCTCTGTTGCCCATAGTTTCTTATAGAGGCGACTGTAAGATTAACTTGACAAAAGACACAGTATTGGCAGCATCAAACCGTAACTACTGCTGGAGAAAAATCTAAAATGAAAAATAATACAAGCAAGAAAAAACCAATACAAGAAATAGTAAAATTTCCGGCAGAAATACCATGGAGAAATTGAATGGCTGAACAGCCCCATGAAAGGCATAGTCATCTGCTAAGGCATGGCTTGTTCATAATATGTGGAGCAACCATGATTCTACTATCAAACCAAAATCCAGATAAACACTGAGACCAGAGTCTCAACCCTTCATTAAGATATACTGGAAGAAGGTTATCATATCATAGAAAATTATTCAAAAACAAAACTATTAAGCAAGCGAATGACAAGCCATCCAATCTGGAGTAGTAAACCATGGAATTTCCCCTATTGAATACATGAAAGGAGGGCTTCTTATACATTACAGAGCAACGTCAAAAGTAGAAACTAAAACCAAGACAATAAAAAAAAATCGAACTAAAAAGACATAATTGTTACAGAGCTCCTCAATATGTTACGAATTTCTCATAACTATAAACCTTTCTTCTCTGTGAACCTTCCAATCAGAGGACTATCTGTGAACCTTCTATTTGTGACCAGGAAGTTCCTAACATTTGAGCAACTCGTGTGAAAGTCCAGCTTTTCACTCAGTTTGCATAAACACAAAAAATAATGGATTAGGCACGCTGTTTCATTTGGGTGTCCCCTGACTTCCAATATTACTGCACTGCATACACTTTTCATGCACAACTTAGTTTCCAATACAATGCTTGACATAGATGAGTCAATGCTTGAACTATTGAGATAAATGTCATCAAGGATGAAAAGACCACTCAAGAGTAACAGATCTCTAGAACCTAAGTTCACCATTTTTATAAATTTTGGATAGGCAAAAGTAACTTAACTATAGGGCACCGAGAAGGTGCAAATTGATATACAAAAAGAGCTCTATTACAAGACAAACATATACTAAGTACAGCAATTAAATTTAGAAAATTGGTTTATCATCAGCATAAGAGCAAACTATCCATGTACAGTCAAAAGCAACGGATCTGATCCTGTCTAGTGCACAGAACCACTCTCTAAAGACATTTAATATTATGTGATCTCTTGACAGATGGAGAAGCTAGGGGATAGATAGTATGTGTAAAATGAATGGTATAATTCATTCCCACTTATTTTTTTGATGTTTTATTTTTTGGTCAACAACACATTCCCAGTTATGGTTGCACTTAGAGATGATGCAGGCAGTTAAGGTGATAGTTCTTTGTAATATTGATCGTAACAGTTACCAAAAGCACAATTATCCAATTTCATCTGACTTTTCATATTTCCTTTACTTTTTAGAACTTGTAAGATCTTCTGACCAAAAAAAGAACTTCTAAGATCTTCCTATTCAAGATGTCTTAGCTGACCAGTCCATTATTCAAGAATCAAGTCTGAAATAGGGCAAAGTTCATCATCCATCCTAAAACTTCTTTATCATCCAGATATTGTCATAAACAGAGTACGCTATGGGTCATTTGCAAAAGTTCGAACAAAACTAGATGGATCTAAGGACTTATTCCAGAGGGCTGACTACTCACAAGTCTCCAATTACTTTAAGTTAGGATTGTCAACAATCCTTACCCTTGCCCCTTCCCCAATCTCCCCAGCTTATTGTTAGCAGTTAATATTGGTCCAATAAATTTGCGCATCCTTCATTTAATTAGAAATTTTCCAATCTCATCATCGATAATATCATCTTTTTTTTCCTTTTCTTTTGAAAGATAAACAAAATTCCATGAACAGTAGCGCCCTATAGGGCCTGAACAAAACAGCTTCAGAAGGGAAGCCACATATATGCAAAACTATGCACTCTTTAGTATTGTTTTTAACACCTCGATAATATAATGCAATTATATATGATCCACCAAAAAGGACTGTAGGCTAGGAACTAATTACCAGAGATCAAAAACTGAAGTACTTCTTTGGAAATGAAGAAATGACCACAATAATTTTTAAACATGCCAATCATTGTAAAGTACATGCGTACAAAAGATTTCAATAAGATCTTTCCGTTTCGCATAGCTAACTTGGGACTTTTAAAGACTGTCTTGATGCATAGATAGTCTCTCAAGTTACATCACATTTTCTCCGGAAGACAACACAAAACAGTGTATAATTTGTAAAGCAGGAGACGCCAAATCATCGCCAAATATCAAAGTTAGGCTTACATATCAAAGAATGGAAAGTACATCGATTCAATGAGGCCAATTACAACAAATACTTTGATTCTCCAATTAAAAATGTATACTATACAAAGAAGCAGAATGGCTCAACCATGCGGACTAGCAAGGGTTGGCTATCTAAATCCTACTTCTTCGCTCTTCACCGAGAACCAAGCAAAAAGAAGAGGTTACACAAATCTCTGAATATCATAATATTCACAGCCAAGGATCTCCTAGGTAAATACGATATCTTTATGCTATGAATCTCAACCTCATGCTCGGTATTGCCACTATATCACTATTTAGCCTCTGAATGAATGACTGGAAGATAGTCTCAAAAGCTGGTCACGTATAGATTATTAATGCCCACAAAGGGGGAAAAAATCTTGTATATACAACCATACCAGCAGGTTTAGTCTCTGACCTTGATGTATTAGAAGTTCCGCCTGAAAAGCATATTACCAGAAAGAAGTTAAGCAGGATATTGATATTCGTGAATTTTAAAAATGAATGGTAAATGCAAAGACTAAAAGACACACCACAAGCAACTGACAGACAAACCCTGAGATAACGCAACTCTTACTTGTGGAACTGGTCAGGGAATTCATGCATGGTTGAAACCACTTTGAATTTAACAAAGTGGCAAGCTTAAGAACTAGCACGTCTGCGACTTACAATGCCTTCAGATTCAAGATGCTGCATAGAACTTTAAGTCACTGCAGAAGCAAATTCTTCGCTATCTGTAATCAGATCCTCTAGCAATTGAACTGCATGCAGCTTGTAGTCTTGGTTCAAATGCTTCATCAAAGCACTATGGGTGACAAAATCAGGCTGCACATCTCTACTTAACATTTCTATGTATAACCTCAGTGCTGCTTGCCAATCCCCCCTATTGCAGTTTTCATTTATTAATATGGTATAGCTATACTTGTTAGGAATGATTCCTCTCATCTCCATTAGGGCAAAAAATTTGTAAGCCTGATCAATGTTCCTCACTCGGCAAAAACCATTGATCAGAGCATTATAGGTGATCACATTAGGGGTAATATTCTTCTCTTGCATCTCCGAGAAGTAAGTACCAGCCATCTGTAGCCTACCCTGGCCGGCATAAGCATGGATCAACACTGTGTACGTCACAACTGAAGGTACTAATCCTTTGCTCCGCATCTCATAAAACAGCTCCCTTGCTTTTCTGAGCTGGCCCATCTCCGAGAAAGCATGGATTATGCTGGTGTAAGTTACATGATCCGGCAAAAAACCATTGTGAACCATCTTTTGCAACAGGTCACATGCTTCTTCTAGGTTGCCTAATTTGCCAAGCCCATGCACAAATATATTGTAAGTGATCAAATCAGGAGGGAAACCCTTTGCCAGCATCTCCTCTTGCAGGCCAACCGCCATACCAGCGTCACCTAGCTTGAGCTGACTTACTATACGAGTTGAGTACGAGACACGATCAGGCTCCAATCCTTTGCGCAACATTTCATTGAAGAAGCTTTCAGCCAAACATAAATCTCCCAACTTACACGATGCATTAGCCAGGATGGTATAAGTATAAACATCAGGAGGAATCCCTCGATTAATCATCTCATCTTTCAAGTGTTGAGCAAACTCCAAGTCGCCATTCCTACAAGCACCATCTATAAGGGTATTGTAAGTGATGGCATTAGGAACAGCATCATGGTATTGTAGCTCCTCAAACAAGAGCAAGGCCTCTTTCATATTCCCCAATCTACAATACCCATATATAAGAGTGTTGTAAGAAACCACGTCCGGATGCAAATTCCTCTTGACCATCTCCGTGAATTGTCGTCTAGCATCAACCATCTTCCCCCATTTACAGAGGCCATACATCATGGCATTGTAAGTTGCCACAGTAGGAGATGCCCCTCTAACTTCCATCTCCTCCTCAATACCTAGAGCCTCAACAAGCAATCCCTTGCTGCAGTACCCAGAAATTAAAGGATTATAAGTGTGTGCCGAGACCTCTATTCCTAACTTCAGCATCTTCTCAATCAGTCCCTTGGCCTGTTCTAGCTCTCCATTCTTGGACAACCCATTTATCAACACATTGTACGTAACATCATTCGGGAAGCACTCTCTCTTATGCATCTCCGCCAAGAGCTCCAGCGCCTGCTGCATTTCACCTTCCTTGCAATACGAATCCAACAAAGTATTATACGTGACGATGGTCGGCTTTATGCCAAACTCCTCCATCGTCCTATAGATCACTCGAGCTTTAACTATGAGCTTCTTATCTCTAAGAATCCGGAGAATCCTATTACAGTTCTTCACGTCCGGCAAGATCCCTTTCCCCACCATTTCATCAAAGGTCGATAGACAATGCCCAATCATCGACTTCTTGGTGTACACCCACAGCAGAATATCAAGAAGCTTCCCCAAGACCTCGAACCGCACTCCCCCGCCGACCAAAACGTCGAGAATCTCATCCATGTCGAGGCTCACCGCCTTATCCACGACCCAGTAAGCCGACCGCATCAAACCGTTCTCCGCCAAGATTTCAAGAACCACGCAGAACGAGCGCTCAGACCGGATAAAACCGTCCTGCACCTGCACCCATCGAAACAACCGCAAAGCAATCCTGGGTCTCGCGCGGATCGAGCCCAGGACCCGGGCGAGCAACCCGGGGTGGACAACCAGGTCCCGGAACTTATCAGACACCCACTTCTTGTTCGCGAAAGCCCGGGGCGTCCTTGCGACCGTGGTCAAGATCAGGTCTCGGTACAGAGATTCCGAGACCGGCGCGGGCTCGTCGGGGACCGACGCCGAGCAGCCGTGGAAAGAGAAGCGGAGCGGGGGGGGCAGCAGCCGTACCTTGAGGCGGTGGCGGGGGTGCGAAGCGGGGAGGGTCGTGGCCAAAGCTTTGGAAGCTTTGAGAGGGAGGGTCATTGAGGAGGAGCGAAGCTGGTGCGACCGCCGCGCCTCCGCCTAGACATTGAAGAGGGGGGAGGGAGGCGTCGTTCGAGGTCGGCGGGGGATGGGAGAGCGACAGAGGTGGGAGGAGCTTGGCGGCTGCGCCCGTGAGGCCTCGGCGGCAGTCGAAGGGTTTTGCTTCTTCCATGGTGGGAAGTTGGGGCCCTTCGCCGGCGGGTTTGGTGGGCTGATTGGGTTGGGGCGTAACCCTATCCCGGCGTTTATAAGCACGGATAAGCCCATATAAAACCTGGATAGGTTATCCCAACACTAGATTGGGATACACAAAGAAAAAGGGAAAGAGATGATCGAAAAAGAAAAAGTAAAAGAAAGACAAAAAGAGAAGGTCGATCTCATTGGACCGGCGGTGCGTAACGGCAAATGGGTCGTGACATTGCCGGTCCGACCCTGTAATATAGCAAGTCGTCCGGTGATGGTCAATTTCATCTAACAAGATTGCTCACGAGCACGACTCAATCAGCCTAAAAGATGAACGGCGTTTCCCTATGTGGGTAAGGAAATCATGATCGGGATAGCGGACCCAAGGCTATGGAACTTGGGTGTGGGTTTTTGACAAGTCATGTCCCGCCATGTTCTATATGATGCTCGTACTCACTCGTTATCTTAGAAGCCAAACGCAATATACGTAATGCAATGTAGGGGTAATATACCATAGTATAACATGGTGAAGCCAAATCCCAATAACACTCTAGAGCATGAGATTAACAAGTGGTAATCCTTGGAACTGCTCCAAAAGCAAGTCCAGCGTGTATTTGTTTTTTCTTTTTTAAGAAATTCTTCTTTAACGAGAAAATGGACACTTTAAACAACCTAGTAACTTAATGAGTGAGTGATCATTGCTTAATGGAGCTTTCCAATTTGGGATCCTAATTCACTCGGATCAGGACATGATGACCTTGTTTGTTGGGTGAACTTCTGATGCTAGTGAATGAGATGTTTGGAGGCAGAATAGTACAGAAGGAAACTGGTAAGAAAACGAGCAACTGGGCAGGAAGGAACTGATCGATATCCTATGAGAGCAAAACAGTCGCAGGCTGGTTTGGGGGAACATGATTTTGAGACAAAATAGCCCTGAAATGGGGCCTCAAAATTGACAAATTGATGCGTGGTGAGAATTACTAAGGCATAAAGGGACAAATTGTTTGTCAAAAAAAAAATAATAAAGGGACGAACCACTGTCTAATGGCAAAGAACTCAAGTTTCACCACCAACGAATTGGATAAAGAACCGAAAAGGAATTCGCTCACCTGAGAGTAATTCTCATGTATTATCAAACTCAATTCTAAATTCTTAAGGTGTAAAAGGACTAGGACTTAGCAAAAGAGTCGAAACACTTTCACTCTTGTAGCTTTGTGATTCACATTGAAACTTCATGAAAATGGCGAGAGGATCCAAGCATTGAAATTTTTGGAATTGCAAAGATAAATGATCATGTTTTCTCTTTCTTATTAAATTTAGCATTCGCTGGTTGATCTACCTTATCAATATTGTGGGTGCTTATTAAAATTTCTTGCCTTAGTCGATGCTACATTAAGCTTCTTTGTTGTTTAAGATTTAGATCGTGGATCTTCCTTTGGTGCATTTGTGGTTTCTTTAGCATTGAATCATAAAAGAGATTCTTACCATCAATGTTTGTTCATTTTTAGGTTCATTTACACCAGTATACTGTTTATACCAAACAATGGACATCATAGGACATGAAAGTATCTAGTTTTATCACTACAATTTGCTAAATAGTGGATGGATATAATGAAATTCTCAAATTTCATATCATATTCTATCAAGTCATATCTTGACTAAAAATCTAAACGATCAAACGCAGCCTAAAAATTTAGGAACTAGGTAAGGGCTTAGGAACTAGAAAACACATTAAAACACATAAAAACTCGAACTTTTTACTCTCCGGCCTTGCAAATCAATCACTAACCGTGCCCATCAATCTGCATTCGCTCTTCAAGTTCTAAAAACTCCATGTTGGACGTTTTGGACCCAATAATTAAATTGTGGCCGAAATTCCCACTTGTTTGCATGTTTAACAAATGGGTATTGATTTGACCAAAAGAAGGAAAAACAAATGGGTATTGATTAACTGATGAGACTTGAGTTGGGTTTGAGAGTTGATCGATGGGATTCTCAAGCTGCCTTGCAAAAACACTCTTCAAGTTCTAAAAACTCCATCTTGGACGTTTTGGACCCAATAATTAAATTGTGGCCGAAATTCCCACTTGTTTGCATGTTTAACAAATGGGTATTGATTTGAACAAAAGAAGGAAAAACAAATGGGTATTGATTAACTGATGAGACTTGAGTTGGGTTTGAGAGTTGATCGATGGGATTCTCAAGCTGCCTCCCCCACATGACATGTTCAAGGTTCCAATGGTGATTTCCGGGGAAATCTTGGCTAGCTGTTGATGTGCGTTGCAGGTGCACATTTTGCCCCAAACTGAGAGGCCTTCTTGTCCAAAAATAAGAAGATAACATAGGAAGTAAGAAGACAAACAAATCCTAGAGAGAGAAAGGGAGGGCCGAGTGGAAGGAGGACGCTGGGCGGCAGCGATGGCACCGCTCGTGAACCAGCAAAAGGGGTCGTGCGCCCCTCGTTGGGCTCAGGCGCAAGGCCCAAATTAAGAACCCTCACATGCCATTGAACTTCAATTGAACATAGAGTCTCATAAGGAAATGACCATCTAAAGTTTTTGTCCGTTTGAATCACCAAAAGCTTGTTTGCCGATTCGAAAACCTTCAATTCATAATAGGTGACAAAAAAGAAACTAAGGAGTCAACTCCTATGAATGCTAATGTTCCCCACATGGCAGTGTGTTAGTACATCTTTTGTTTTCATTAAGTAAAATGACACGAATACTTCATGAATTTTGATTCAATGTGCAGCGTCGTTTATAAACTTTCAATTTATTCAATGCTATCCTTGAACTTTAGCCGAATGTGCACCGTCATCCCAAAATTTTAAATCTGTTCAATATGGTCCCTAAACTTTTGGTAAATATTCAATCTAATTCCTAAACTATATAAAAATATCAAATATTGTGATTTCGCTAATTCAAGTTAACGAAGTTTGTTGATTTGGCTTTCAATCCGATAAGTTCGAATGGTTGACAAAAAAATAACTTTACACATGGATTATTCACAGAAGATATTCAACACAAATGACGTAATCGAATAATGTAGATAATAAAAATTGAACAAATTAAAATGATTATTATATTCTAATTTGAGTTGAATATCTTATGTGGATAATCCACGTACAACTTTTCTTTGTCCACCGTCCAAACATATCGAATTGAAAGCCAAATCACCAAATATCGTTAAACACGAATTAATGAAAAGACAATAATGAATATTTTCATAGAGTCAATGACTAAATCGAACATTCACCAAAAGTATATGGACCACATTAAACAAATTAAAAGTTCAAGGACGACATTGCACATTGAGACTAAAGTTGAGAGATCGCGCTGAACAAATAAAAAGTGGCATTGTACATTAGGTCAACATCTAAGAACCTTTTTTGAAATCATCCCTTTTCTCTATAAGTTTCGAGCGGATCCGGGCCTCTTCGGGATCGGCTGGAACTAAAAAATGGATAATGACACAAATGGTCCCTGAACTTTAGCTCAATGTGTAAAATGGTCCATGAACTTTAACCCAATGTGCAATATGGTCCATAAACTTTTAATTTGTTTAACGCGGTCCCTGAACTTTTGATACATATTCAAACGAGTCCATATAGTCCAAGGACAATATTGAACATTTTCGTATAGTCCAAGGACTAAAGGGATCTTATTGAACAAATCAAATGTTCAGGGACCACATTGCACATTAGGTTAACATTTAGTGACCACATTGCACGTTAGGTTAAAGTTCAGGAACAATATTAAACAAATTGAAAATTCAGGGACCACGTTACACATTAAGTCAAAGTTTATAAATTATTTGTGTCATTCTCGATGGCCCGGCCCGAAAAACGTCGATACGGGCCGTGCGGGCTTTTGTGGTGTGGGACTATCTTGGCACTATCGCCTGTTTTACACGAAGGATCATGGACACCTTGTCTGCCCAAGAGCCAGCCAAGAAACAGCGACAACTCGCAGCTTCACGGACCCAACCCCAATCTCTCATCGGCACGCACGCACGCACGCTCGCTTCGCAATCTTTCGCAGCAGTCACGCCCGAATCCCGCAAATCCTGCGGCAGCAGCACAGCAGCAGCAGCAACAACGACAACTCACTCGCCCCCACCTCCACCCTTCTCGGGACCCCGCGACGACCACGACCCACCAGTGCAGTGCAGTGCAGCGACCCTCTTCCGATACGCGCCTCTCCGCCCTTGGGGCTTTCGTAAATCACTTTGGTTCGGCTTTGAATCTCTGTCCCCCCAGCCTGCACCACCCTTTTGACCCAAGAAAGTGCTCGGCGAGAGGGGGGAGAAGAGCCATGCCGGGCGAGAGAGACGTTAAGAAGAAGACCAAGAAGAAGAAGCGCGGAGGCAGCAAGAGGAAGATGACGGTCGAGCAGGCGCTCGCCTTCAAGTCCGTGAGCGAGTGGGTCTTCTTGGATTCGCAGTCGTCGTCGTCGTTGAGCGAGTGGGTCGATGACTTCGGGGTTCAGAAGAGTGCCGGGCAGAGGGTGGTCTTCGAGCTGCACTGCCACTCCAAGTGCAGCGATGGCTACTTGTCTCCTTCCAAGCTCGTTGAGCGAGCTCATGCCAATGGGGTAAGTGTTTTTTTCCTTAAATGTTTTGTTTTCTTTAGCCCTTCTATTTGTGCAATCTCTGAAGGGATGCTTTTGGGGATTGAGATGTTTTTATAAGGTTATTCTATCTAAAAATCTGAAGTTGTGTGTTCATCCGAAAAAAGAATAAAAGGAACAGAGGAATGTGTAGATTGGTGTTTTCGTCGTGTATCCTCTCAGTTCAGTGGCTCGCAGAAATGGAGGGTACCTCAAACTGTTAAGAGTAAAACCAAACCTGATTCTTGCTCTTAATCTTCTTTTAGCTTTCTTTCCTTTTCACTTGCAATACATATTGATGGTACATTTTGTTAGAAACTGTTTTTGCCCAA